GAACTCGGGGTACCACTGTACAGTGGACCCCCGCATAACGATGGCATCGCATAGCGATTTTTCCGCATAACGATTACTTTTATCGCAAAATTTTTGCCCCGCATACCGATTAAAAACCCGCATACCGATTTTCGTCCGAGACGCGTCCAATGTGCCCTCACATGTGCCGGCCGTCCCATTGTTTACCAGCCAGCCTCCGCGGTAACATCCAAGCATACACTCGGAATATTTCGTATTATTACAGTGTTTTCGGTGGTGTTTCTGGAAAATAAGTGACCATGGGCCCCAAGAAAGCTTCTAGTGCCAACCCTGTGGTAAAAAGGGTGAGAATTAGTATGGAAATTAAGAAAGATTTTGAAGGGTTTGGGGCTAACCCTGAGAAGCCTATGCCAGTTGTGGAATCCATTGTGCCTACTTCAAAGATTAAGGAAATGTGTGCAGAGTGGTTTGAACTGCAAACCTTTATAGATGAAAATCACCCTGACACAGCTGTTGCAAGCCGTGCTTGTGACTATTTCAATGACAATGTTATGGCCCATTTTAGGAAAGTCTTGAAGAAACGGGAGGTACAGAGCTCTATGGACAGATTTGTTGTGCGACAGAGGTCCAGTGACTCTGAAGCTGGTCCTAGTGGCATTAAAAGAAGAAGGGAAGTAACCCCAGGAAAGGACTTGCTACCTCAAGTCCTAATGGAAGGGGATTCCCCTTCTAAACAGTAAGAAGATAATGCTCTCCCCTCCTCCCATCCCATCAATCATCACCAGATCTTCAATAAAAGTAAGTGTCATGTAATTGTGCATGCCTTTTTCAGTTTGTGTGTATTAAAATTAACATTTCATGTGGTAAAAAAAATTTTTTTTCATACTTTTGGGCGTCTTGCACGGATTAATTTTATTTCCATTATTTCTTATGGGGAAAATTAATTCGCATAACGATTATTTCGCATAACGATGAGCCCTCTTGCACGGATTAAAATCGTTAACCGGGGGTCCACTGTATATAGAAAGCAGATCATTTCGGGCAAATCAGGTTATTTTTGTCCCAGAATGCGACCCACACCAGCTGACTAATATCCAGGAGCCCATTTTAGTGGTGAGTGAACACTGGACAGCAGGTATCTTAAGGAAACACATCCTAATGTTTCCAACCATACTGGGGATCAACCCCTGGACCTCAGCGTGTGAGCTGAGTGCACTAGCAATTGAGCTATAGGACACCTAAGATGAGAGAAATCTTGCATATATGGATGGTGTGTGTACATGATCGTTAATACAGTTTCATGTTCAGTATGGCTGATAAAATGTCAGTAACCCATAAAATTACATGCAAAACATCAACAGAGGTATTATATGATTGGTGTAACAAAACAACAAACTTAATTTTTATAAAGTGGAATACAGTATATTATACAATTAGTGTGATTGACATATGTATATAACAACTTTATAGAAAGCCTCTTGCTATGCCAAGCTTTTCGGGCGGCCCTAAAACTAAATTATGATTACAAGTACAGTGGTACCTCAAGTTTCGAACAGCTCCCAACTCGAACAATTATGTAAGTGTATTTTTGTAAGTGTATTTTTGGGGGTCTGAAACAGAATAATCTAATTTACACTATTCCTTATGGGGACAAATTTGTTTGTTATCGGCACTCGAACAGCCTTCTGAAACAAATTAAGTTCGTAACTCGAGGGACCACTACATATGAGAATAAGAATATGTACATAGTTTTAAAATATTGGAGGTATATAGTACAGCTTCTCCTCACTTAACGACAGACTTCCGTTCCTAAGACCACATTGTTAAACGAATTCGTTGTTAAGTGAGGAGCATACTATAATGGTAGTTTGTGTCAACCATCTTTGATATAGTTTTAATGTCACCTTTGCACCAATGTTAACATTTCTGGTATATTTTTAAATGTTTATACAGTAGTGTACTGTATATTGAAATAAACAGACTAGAGGAAATCAGCTCTAATATACATTATTTAGGTATGAATACTGGTCAGAGAGCCCATCGTAAGTCTGAGGCGTCAGTAAATGAGTATATGACGCTAAGTGAGGAGAGGTTGTAATTAAATAAAAAAGTATAATTAGCAATATATTAGGGATAAACTAGGTACATGAGACAAAAGAATGATAGACAAGGACAGGGGCACTACAGGTTGAAGGATTTTTTCAGCATAATTAATTGTTGTTATGATCACATTAGTAAAAGGTGGTATTTTTTAACAGAAGCTATGAAGCGGCTGGCAGAGACAGGTTAGAGTATGCAGGCGAGAGGGAGATTATTTCCCAGTAAAAGTAAGCCTTAGACAGGGATGTGTGATGTCACCATGGTTATTCAATATATTTATAGATGGAGTTGTAAGAGAAGTGAATGCTCGGGTGTGCAAAAGAGGTGTGGGGGTTAAAAGATAAAGAATCTAACACAAAGTGGGAGTTGTCACAGTTGCTCTTTGCTGATGACGCTGTGCCTTTGGGAGATTCTGGAGAGAAGTTGCAGAGGTTGGTGGATGAGTTTGGTAGGGCATGTAAATGAAGGAAATTAAAAGTGAATATAGGAAAGAGTAAGGTGATGAGGATAAAAAAAAATTAGGTAATGGAAGATTGGATATCAGATTGGAGGGAGAGACTATGGAGGTGAATATATTCAGATATTTGGGAGTGGACATGTTAGCAGATGGGTCTATGAAGGGTCTACGAAAAATGATGTGAATCATAGAGTTGATGAGGGGAAAAAGGTGAATGATGCATCAAGGAGTCTGTGGAGACAAAGAACTTTATCCATGCTCTATTATCCAGAGGGCTGATTAGGGGTTACTGAGATGGCTTGGACATGTAGAGAGGAAGGAACAAAATAGAATGACTTTGAGAGTGTATAAATCTGTAGTGGAGGGAAGGTGGGGTAAGGGTCGGCCTAGGAAAGGTTAGGGGGAAGGAGTAATGGAGGTTTTGTGTGTGAGGGGCTTGGATTTCCAGGAAGAGTGCATGAGCATGTTAGATAGGAGCTAATGGAGACAAATGGTTTTTAGGAATTGATGTGCTGTTGGAGTGTAAACAAGGCAACATTTATGAAAGGATTCAGGGAAACCAGCAGGCTGGACATGATTCCTGGAGATGGGAAGTACAGTGCCGGCACTCTGAAGGAGGGGTGCAAATGCTGCAGTTTTATAACTGTAGTGTAAGCATGTCTCTGGCAAGACAGCGATGGAGTGAATGATGATGAAAGTTTTTCTTTTTCGGGCCACCCTGCCTTGGTGAGAAATGCCCGATGTGTTAACCCTTTGACTGTTTTGGTTGTATATATACGTCTTACGAGCCACTGTTTTTGAAGTATATATACTCATAAATTCTAGCGGCTGCTTCAAATCAAGCAGGAGAAAGTTGGTAGGCCCACATGTGAGAGAATGGGTCTGTGTGGTCAGTGTGCACCATATAAAAAAAATCCTGCAGCACGCAGTGCATAATGAGAAAAAAACTGACCGTTTTTAATTAAAATGCCGACTTTGTGGTCTATTTTTGTATAGTATTTATGGTTGTATTCTCGTTTCCTTGGTGTCATTTGATAGAATGCAAAACATATTATAGAAATAGAGGTGATTTTGATTAGTTTTACTATGAAAAGAACCTTGAAATGGAGCTCAAAGTAGGGGAAATGTTTGATTTTTGCAGTTGTTCAAAAGTAAACAAATGATGTCATTTTCCAATAAATGTCCAAGTAGCCATTCTAATATGCAGTCATGAATGGGTTGACATTATTTATACAATTATACAAGTATTACAATATGGCAGTAGTCTGCATAACAGTAAATCTTTTATGTCTTGTTTGAATAAAAATTCAAAATAGAAAGCAAGAGTAATATCAGAGGGGCCTGGAGACATGACTGATGAACAAAGAAAATGTTATTTTAGAGCCAAGAATGTCTGCACTGTTCATTTTGGACCCTGCTTTGAAATTGTCATATTTTTTAATTTTCGTGAAACTGGCCAAATTGCAAATTTCTGACCACATTATTGGGTAGTTGAAATTGGTAAATGGGCAGTTTCTTGTACTCAATCGATAGAAAAAATGGAGTTCTAAAGAAAATAGGGCTCAAAGTGGGCGAAATCACTAATTCGTAAATATCGCCGAGGTCACTAACTTCACGAGAGCATAATTCCGTCAGTTTTCCATTAAATTTTGTTCTTTTGGTGTCATTACAATCGGGAAAAGATTCTCTATCATTTCACAAGAAAAAATAATTTTTTTTTTCCTGGAAATTTTGCGACACCAGGAGACACCTCAGGATTTGGGGTTGCAACAGTCAAGGGGTTAATAAAAAAAAAATTATGCACACTGAGTTTTTGCAAAGATTAAGCTGGATGTGGGAATATTACAGAATTTTTTGTGTCTAGTATTATGACTGAGAATGTGTTGTACAGTGTCTGTTAGAAAAGTTTTACATATATAATGCAATATCAAAAATTTATATCATGCAATATGATCCAGAAAACTGAACAGTAAAATCTATCAATAGATTAAACATAGTCTAATTAAAAATAGAGTATTCAAAGGTACATAAAGCAAAATGCTGCATTTTTTTTTTTTTTAATAAGCAGGCTAAAACTTAAGATAAAGGAACAAATGTAAATTAAGATAATGACAAGTAAACCCTCAATTTAATGGACTTTGGAAATACAGACAAAATCCAAGGGGCCAATTGATTTGGAAACAATGGAGAATCTGTTGGTTACAGAACTGCCTGTTATAAAGATCACTACAAAATCTCATCTGTATCCACCACCCTCCCCCATCTTCCTTACCAGCCATCTGCTTTCCCTCCAGTTAGTACATTAAACAGAGAGTTTACCACTTCATAAAAATTAATAGATTCATGGGAAACTGGTAAACCTGTAGGGGGTTATACAGTGCCTTATAGCAAGTACAGTATTTCAAAATATTTATTATTTATACATACAGTATACACAGGATGATGATATACTGTACAATCTTACCTTGTCTACTCTAATGACACTTGCACCAAAATCTGCCATAATCATGCCACAAAATGGTGCAGGGGCTAGTCCTGCCATCTCAATGACTCGTATCCCATGTAAAGCCATCCTGAAATTACAGTAGATTCAAAGGATGCTACTTTCTAAAGGTTTATAACCTATTCCAATGCCAAGAAATTTGCACTAAAGTATTTGAAAGCAATGTAAGAAAAATATAGGTTTACTAGATTTGGTTACCATTATATATTAAGAATTAAGATGGATTATTACTAAATAGTTAATGGGACATGCTAAACCAGTACAGTAGTGTCATGGGGAATGAAAGGCAATTAGGCTTGTTCCATGGAAAGGAGGGTATCTTAATTATAGTTCGAATTAAAGATTATTAAGTTGGTTTTAAAGCTGAGATGTCATTTTGGTTTGCAAATGATAAAAATCATACTGCAACCAAGCCTAACAAAACCAAGCTAATAATGAGTTGAGGGGCTCCAACAAATTAACTCCTTTATTTTCATTTTTAAAACATAAGTAATCTATCAATAGCCCAGCAAAAACATTTATTATGCATTATTTATTATGTATTATGTATCAGGTAAACTATGTGCTGAGGTAACCAGAGCGGAAGATTCAGCAGCCCAATGATGTGAAGGTTCAATAATACAAACACCTGAGCAATGTCTCCTAAGTTTACACTGGGTTACATTGGGGTATGTTAGGTTGGGATGGGTTAGGTTAGGTTATTTTAGTTGTAATAGCTCAATAAGGGCCTTTTTCAATTACAATATATCTTTTAAAGACAAAAAAAATATCCCTTATCAGTTTTTTTCCATTTTGCATAAAATATAATTATTTCCACTGCACAAACAAATCAATATTACGCACTTACCATTATAAATTTTTGCAACACTTGATGGAGCCTCCTAAACCCAATATTTATCTGAAAGATATGTATCTTTTCTAAGGTAGTAGGTTAATAGACAGCAACCATTCAGGGAGGTACTACTGTTCTATCACAGGAGTGCAAAATGGAAACCTGTTAATTGCTTTGTACTCTTTTAAGATTGCTGGTCTCTTGTCTGTCTCATAAACACCTAAGATGCCATGAAAATAGTATAAATTAATACTTATATTCAGTACAAACATACCTTCACTTTTCTTTATTCTTTATAAATAGTTCTTAATCTTCTAATATTTCTTATTCAACCTAATAAGCTGGTCTAAGACCTGGTCTTGGGGAAAATTATTACATTCATAGGGGGAGTGTTAAACCTGTAGGGATCATACAGTGCATGGGAGGAATTCAGGTTCATTCCAAGGAAGGTGAGGGCAGATCCAATTCCTTCGATCAAGAGCCCCTCACAAGCATCAAGGAGCCTCCCCTGAGGTGATGATCACAGAACCACTGACACATAAGAGATAACATTGCTGCACAACCAAAATAAACGTACTATTTTTGTTAATGTCTCCCAAGTTAACACTCTGCATAAGATAATAATTATCTATTCCGTGGTGTATATTATTATTATTAGTCAAAATCCAGCGCTAAACCCACAAGGGTCATACAGCATAAATAGGTTGAATGATCCGAATTGTAGTGTAAACTAATGCCAGAGTTCCGCCGAGGAGTCACATTGTTTGAATTTATTGGGTTATCTTAGGTTAAATTTACATAAGGTACTATGTACATGCGCCCATAAAACCTGTCTGCCTGCAAGACTTCCAAAAAATTTAATTTTTTGTACCTTTTACATGAATCTCTTCTTGTTGGGGGTTTTACAAGCCAGTGTCAGCTAACATCTACTCGAGTCCTACTTGATTATGTAAGTTTTGGCCAGAACTGGGCGGTGCAAGGAAAGGAAACTCGAGTTTCTTTTGTAAATAGAAATATGAATTAAAAGTCTTCAATTAAGACAGATGAACACCCTTGTCTAAGCGCCATCAAAGTAGGACACCTACGCCGAATTCAATAACCGGATTTCCACCAAAACTAGAATATACGCATTATTATTATTATAATCAAGGGGGAAGCGCTAAACCCGGAGGATTATACAGCGCCTGGGGGGGGGGATGTGGAAGGCATTCAGGCTTAATTCGGGGAACTGGAGCACAGATCCAATTCCCTAAATCAAGAGCCCCTCACCAACATCAAGGAACCTTCCTTGAGGGGAGAATATACGCAGAGCCAAAAAATGGAGCTGGTGAATGGTATCTCTCCCAGAATGTACTCAGCCAGCTGAATAAGATAAGGGTAAGCATCCCAGAGAGAATGAGATAAATTTATAACCTATGACCATGAGAGAGAGAGAGAGAGCGAGACATCTGCTGGTGCAGAAATGTACACGAATTTACTCTGTTGCAGCTGCCGGTGTGTTGAGGGTTTCTAGGGTCACTATTTCTTACGCCGTATTGAACTCTGCTTCCTAGTTACCGGGGAAGAAATAGTGCCCGAAGTTGATAGGTAACTCAGAACAGAAACGGAAATTTAAATTGTCCAATTAAGTCATGTGGACCCCACGCCTGAACCCCGATTTCAAAATGAAAGTTACTAATCTTGTTGATAGGACTGTTACAGCTCACTTTGGAAAATATCATAATTTATAATTATCACTGAGGAGCGCTAAACCCATATGATTTATACAAGAAAATGTGAAACAGTGAAATATGATTCAAGGAAGGGAAGGGAAGGTCCAATTCCTTGGATCAAAAGCCCTCACCAGCATCAAGGAAACTTCCAGAGAGGTCTAGCTTTTAATATTATGAAAACCATAATACTGAAAAAAAAAATTCAATTGAACCTCATAGACTTGAGGAAGAACGATATTGATACCAGTCTCAATTTACACATCATTATTTTATGAAGGAAGAGTTACATTTTTATGGTGCATCCAACAAAATGTTTACTAAATACTTCATTCTCATTGACATTATAAAAACTTACCTACTGTAAATAACTCACAATCACTATGACTTGCTTGAACGACAGAGCAACTTTGGCTGTCTCTTAGACCAGTGTGTATTTCCCATTAAATATTTGTTCAGTGTAATGCTTGTAATTGAATGCATTATGTAACCAACTCCTGTACTGTTATAACTGAAATCATAATTTTCCTTAATGGCTCATTACTACTGTAACTTGCTTAGTTAAGAATATTGAGGACCAGTCACTGCACCCATTACGTACCTCTGAAATCTTTGTACTACACTCCACAAGATAGATAATTGTGAGCAAAACTAACTTACATTAACTCCCTTGTACGGTGGTTGAGTTTCCTACAATAGGATCATCAACTACAAAAATCAGAAACACAGAAAGAAAAACATAAGCCTCCAAATAATGTAATTTAATGTCGTCGCCACAAACCTGGACAAACTACGTGAGGCGACGACTGTCTCCTCATAAGATATATATCAGAGTCGCAGAACGAGCAGTAGATATCCTGATAAGATAAGTTTGATGTAAGTCAAGTATACAGGTGCTTAAAAATCGTTTTTAATGTCCAGAACAGTTTAAATCAGTACATTATTATAATCATGTAGTGGTGTTAAATTATGAACATTTAACATAAAACGAAGAGAAAAATGCCGATAAGTTACATGTAGGCTATGAATAACAATGTTTATTCTTAAATTTTCACAACGGCTGTATTAAGCAAATTATTATAAGCGCAAAGAGATGATAAATTATGAATGTTTAACTTAGTATGATAAAGAGGAAGAAAACTTCTCGGATTATTAAGCCAGAAGGTTAGTAACCCAGGATAACCCAAGGAGACCAAATCACCGTGGCTTATGTCTGCTGGGATACTTTGATCCCCCCAGAACCCATTTCGACTCTCCATCTCACTCTCATAACCCTCCAACTCCCTCATCACTAAATCATTCATTCCCACGCCCCTCGCTAATTCACTCCCACACCCTCATCAACTCACTCCCACAAATCCTCCAAGTCATTCTCGCAGCCCACCAACTCACTCCCACACCTTACCAACTCCCACACCCCTCCAGCTCACTCCCCACACCTCATCAACTCTTAAATACCCGCAATTCACTCTTACATCTTTCCAACATTCTCACACCCACCACCACACTCGCAGTCATCCACAACACCCCTACACTCTTGTGACCCTCCAAAAACTTAATATTATTAAGAGAAAACTCACAAGTTGACATTAAAACACACTGGAGGGCTTGCCTATGTATTTCGACCTCCAAATGAGGTCCTCGTCACCGCCTTATCTTATTGCTTTACACAGTGAATTTTCATGTTTATAACTGTGGAAAATTGCATTTATCTGAATGTAACTAATTATGTACATAACAGTAAATAATAACAAAGATAATTATTATTTATCAATGTTACATAGACAAGTAGGAATTTGGGACACCTAGGTCGCAAAAATGTCCCCCTTCGATACCTACCACTGTCATATCCACAAGTTGCTCTGGACATATTAATTAAATGAAATATACATCACCAGGAATGCTGGTAAATATATAAATTTGTGGACTGTAAATTAAAATTAAAAAATGATTATATATAAACACATGCCTAGAACAGATTAACTCGGTGGCACTCGATGTATGCACAAGGCTTATTCCTCTAAGAAAAAGGAGGAGTAGATGTAAAATAGAAAGAGACAGGCGCTCCCTTTACAGGCGACGGAAAAGAATAACAGAGCGGCTAAAAGAGGTCAATATATCTGAAATGCGCAGGGAGACACTGGTCAGAGAAATAGCAAGCATCGAACTTAAGCTAAAAGAATCCTTTAGGAGTCAGGAATCGCGGGAAGAACTAAAAGCCATAAATGAAATCGAAAGAAACCCAAAGTATTTCTTCTCCTTTTGCCAAATCAAAATCGAGAACAAGGGTCCAGTATTGGGCCCCTACTTAAACAAGATGGGTCCCAACAGATGACAGCAAGGAAATGAGTGAGCTACTAAAGTCCCAATAGACTCAGTTTTTTAGCAAGCCGCTAACCAGACTGAGATCGAAGATCAAAATGAATTTTTATGAGAGAGCCACAAAATTTGATTAACACAAGCCTATCCGATGTTATCCTGACGCCAAATGACTTCGAACAGGCGAAAAATGACATCCCCATGCACTCTGCCCCAGGCCAGACCAGGGAACTCTGTTTTTCATCAAGAACTGCAAGAAGCCCCTATCACGAGCCTTTCCATCCTATGGAGAGGGAGCATGGACAGGGGGTCGTCCCTCAGTTCCAAAAACAACAGACATAGCCCACTCCACAAGGGGCAGTAAAGAAAACAGCAAAGTACTACAGACCAATAGCACTAACATCCCATATCATAAAAATCTTTGAAAGGGTCCTAAGAAGCAAGATCACCACCCATCTAGAAACCCATCAGTTACACAATCCAGGGCAACATGGGTTTAGAACAGGTGGCTCCTGTCTGTCTCAACTACTGGATCACTACGACAAGGTCCTAAATGCACTAGAAGACAAAAAGAATGCAGATGTAATATATACAGACTTTGCCTTCGACAAGTGTGACCCTTTTCTTCTTCCCTTCCCTTTTCTTCTTCCCTTCCCTGACCAGGCTTTGGGGATTAGTGTGGACGGTTACAAAGCATGGCTTGCTTCTGCAGTGTTTTAAAAATTGAGGTTGGAGAGTTGAAGGAGGAGGTCTTGCTTCTCCAGGAGGAGATTAGGAGGCTGAAGGCCCACCTCAATGGGTCTGGGAGAGAGTGTGAGGTGGCTGGAGTTGTGGGGAATGAGGCTTCAAGTGAGGTGCAGTCTGTCTCTCGCTGTGAGGACGCTGTAGTTGGGGAGGTAGCAACGGCTACCAGCAGTGAGGTGCAGTCCAGCACCTGCTACAAGTGGCGAGGGGTTTCACAGTAATGGAAGGCCCCATAAGAGTAAGGAAAGTTTAAGAGTGAAGATCTGAAGGTAGGAAATCGCTTCTCTGTTCTTCGGATGAATGTACTTCAGTGGCCAGTGAAGGTAAGGGTACTACTGCCCCTGCTAATGGGAGGTTAGGCATTCTTGTGGTTGGTGACTCTCAGGTAAGATATATTGACCGTGTTTTTTGTAATAGGAATAAGAAGATGAGAGATAGAGTGTGCTTCCCTGGAGCTGGTGTTGGGGACTTTGTCAACAGGCTGGATAATATCATGTCAGGTAATGGGAACAAGCCCTTTATCTGTCTCAAGTGCTGGTGGAAATGATATTGGGAAGGGTAGGAGAGAAGAGCTGCTAGATAATACAGGTCAGCTATAGATTTCAATTAAGTCAAGGGAGGGATCCCAATCATATGTAGCATCTTGCCTAGAAGGGGAGTAGGAAATAAATGGTTGTCAGGGCAATTGGGTGTAAATTGCTGGCTAGCAGATACTGCAAGGAACTTGCAATCCCATTCATTGACAACTGGAACAACTTTTATGGCAAACATGATATGTATGCAAGGGATGGGGTACATCTTCGGGGGCTGGGGTGGTAGCACTTGCTGACTCGATTGAGAAGGCCATTGGTGAAATGCCTATGATTTTAAACTGATGGAAGATAGAGGTATGGGTGTGTGTGGGAAACAAGCAGGTTGCAACACTTGGGTTGGAAACAGTACATGTATAAAAGGCATTCAGCATGAAGTTATAAATAAAGACAATAGATCAGGTCAGCAAACAAGGGGGACAGCAGAGGGCAGCAAGGGACTAGCTCCCTTAAGGTTTACTATACTAATAGCAGGAGTGTAAAAATAAGATAGATGAGCTAAGATTAATTGCAAGTGCAGGAAACATAGATATTATTGCTATAACAGAGCCCTGGCTCAATCTGAAAGATAGAGGGATGCCCTCTGAATGTCACATACAAGGCTATAAATTATTCCACATGACAGGGTCAACAGGAAAGGTGGTGGAAGTAGCGATGTATGTCAGAGACAATTTTAAATTGTTGTGTTAGACAAGATATTAAATTAGAACGTCACCCACTGAATCTGTTTGGTTACACTTCTC